TTGAAACCAAAAACAATATATAGTATAAAGTCAATACCATTTAAATCATTTATTATTTACCCCACTACGTTACAAATGTTTTTCTTCTTTAAGACTTTATTAACATATTGTTGAATATAAACTCTGTTTTTATCTAGTTTACAACACAGTACCGATTCCCTGTCAATGAGGTGGATTCCTGTCCCACAACTAATGTCACATGGTATGAAGCTGGTTCAAGATTAAACTGTTCTCATGACTTCTTCAACAGGCTCCAGTATCTATGTATTCCCAATCAGGAAAAGACAACTCTACTCGAATTTTGCTATGACAAGATAATGGGCCTTTACGAAAAAGGTACAATCGTATTTTAAATGCATGTAAATGCTGTTTTCGAAGTAAAATATTTTGTTTTAATAACATGCATGTACGTGATATTCCTGAATTTAACTTAGATTACAGGCTTAAAAATAGAATGATTTGTATCCCTCACCTGCTAATACATCATTAAATATACCCGACAAAGGTAATAAATTAATGCCAAATTTACATTATATAAAAAGAAAAATGTATGCTTTCAAGCAATATGAAATGATGCCGATGACTTCTGCAGATGATGGGTATCAAGATAAAAGTTAAATGAAAGTGTAAAAATAGTAGGCATCATTATTATCCTTGGCAGAGACAAACCAATTAGTTATTATTCCCTTTAAGATTCAACTATCAAAGTTCAAAAACAATTACAGTGTACAAGTTAATTTTTATTGTACACCGTTTTTCGGATGATAGTTCCTGTAATGAAAGAAACGTGATAAATGTACGAAAGCCCAGAAGGCTCATTCGAGATTCAAGGTTCGAAGTATGAGATTCAGAATTCGAGATTCGAAATTCGAGTTTCGCAATTCAAGATCCAAACTAACCAATCAAAAGCGGGTTCAGCTTTTGATTACTTCCCTTTGTTACGTTTTTACTATCAAGAAATCTTTGAATATATTAAAGCAAATGGATCATTTGCTAAAATGATATTGCAAGAAAAAATGATTTATGTATTAAAACGAAATAAAAATAAAATTTGGATTACATTTTGAAAAATACATATATAATCTTATTTTTCTAATTTAACAAAATAGTAAATAGTTACGTATATATGGAATATTATATGGTCTTATCGTTGACTTGCTGAAATAGTAGGTCAACTAATTTTATTTCATCAGATCATTGCTGATGGAGAATGTTGCATTTAATTACAATCAGATATGAAATATTATGAATCGTATCTACACTGCACACTAATTTAAGGGTATATATTTCATTACATTTATAAAGGGTATATTTGTGCAGTGAGACTTGACTGCTGAATCGAACTGTAGCGTTATATAAGGTTTTATAATGGTATATTTTAGTCTTTGGCCATAAAGCTATGGTCAGAGACTAAAATATAACACCATAACGGTATATAGTTTTGCATGTAATTTAGACTCATCTACTATTTGATATAAGATAAAATAAATGCTGCATTTATTTTAATTCATATCGCCAAGCTGTATTGTAGATATAATTTTTAATTAATTCAAGAAATCAAAGCCTTAGATGAAGATAAGTAATTAAATACTTAATCTTTATGTATTTCCTCTATCAGGAAAACGAACGCGATTTTTCTTTATCAATACTATGTCGTCCTTCAAGTTTCAAGCCTTTCAGTGTGTTTGGAAAAATGGGCAGGCGGGGTGATTAGGGGTTTGGTTATTGTTAACCTTTAGACACTTGCCACGTATTCATAACTTTATTTATATGTCATCAACCCCGTAAAGTAGATAATACAAAAATATATATATTCCTAATATATGTATTCTATTTAATATTTAAGAAGCCATAATATAAATTAAAGTATATCTTGCTGATCAAAAATCCAATGATTATTTAAATTTCCTTCTTATATAAATAACACTCTTTCTTGCATTGTAATTTTATTATATGACTTATTAGTTATTTATGTATTAAACGATTTCTTGATAGTAAAATCATAATAAATGGGAATAATCAAATCTTGAACCCGCTTTTGATTGGTTAATCTGGATCTTGAATCTCGAAATTCGAATTTGAATTTCGTATTTCGAACCTTGAATCTCGAATGAGCCTTTTGGGAGCGTTTGATTGGTTAATCTGGATCTTGAATCTCGAAACTTGAATTTCGAATCTCGTATATCGAATCTCGTATTTCGAACCTTGAATCTCGAATGAGCCTTCTGGGCTTTCGTATAAATGAAATAAAATATTTAGGACATTAAAGAGATAGGTAAGGTATAATGGAAAGGCAGACGCATGGAAGGACACATAAAGAAAGAAACCATGCGTAATCCAATCCCGCTCTGCCATTCAGTTCTGATGTCAATAAGTCAATGAAGTGTTAAATTCATATTAAACAAATTTATTTTATTCTTTTTCTTAGTGATGGAGGCTACTGTTATGAAACTTGCTGACGTATACTGTGAAGCAGCGCTTTTATTTGCGTTAATATTTACTCGCGATTCATCAGTTTCAAACAACCTTTGACTATTAAATTTTGGCCACCGAGGAATTATTTCATACAAATACAAAGCAAAAAAAAAAATGAATCGCGGTTTTTTTTATAATTCGCAAGTTAAGGTAGGTTGCAAAACTTGCAAACATTTCTCGAACGCCAATAAAAGTTGGATTACAGTATTTTTTATACTTATAAAAACATTTGAGAAAGATATTATTTAATTTTAGTTGTAACACGTCATTTGATTGGTTAAACGGTTTTATCCATTTTGTATAACATAACTTGCCTACGTCACAATGAGCTACGTCAAAAGCGTATTACTCCGCTTGACGTTAATTTTAAAATAACGCTCGATTTTAAACCTCTTTCCGGGGGAAATATTGTCTTATTGTCTACCTTGAAATTAAATTATAAGGAATGAAGCTTATTTCAACTTATGTTATCCGATATAACAAAACTTGGGGCAGTTTACGCTTTCTTATAAACTGCTTCATAAGTTGAAATAAGCTTCATTCCTTAAATAAAGCAAACATTCAGGGCAAATAGGAACATTTCAGGACACTGCCTACATTTATCAACATCTGGGTTTGTGGATCAAGAGGATTGTAGGATGTTTAGCAAGGGATGCCCAAGGACACCTTACTTCAGTAGCAACATTTTCCAATGTAAGAATGAAAAACATAGTGTTATATAAATTTGATACTTGCTCCATGATTAAATATTTACATTTCCTATGTCTCTGTCCGATATAAAATTACAAATTGTAAATGTACTTTATTTCCCCATCAATGTAATGGCTCGGTTCCAAAAACCACGTGCTGGGAGGAACAAACAGCTAGACAGAAGCAGGGCTTGAAGCACGTGGATTGGCGGAATCAAAGCATATAAATATAAGGAATAACTGTAAGATTTTTCAATTCAATGACAATGATCAATCGATTGGCTTGCGTGATAAATCTATGCATATTTCGGCGTTTATGGAAATTAGCACGCAACCCAATCGATTGATCACATCATGAAATGGAAAAATAACACAGTTATACCTTAAATGCAACAAATGTACAGTGTATGGCCTTACGTGAGTCTTAATTGCATTTTTATACTATATATTTCATTAAAAACCAATGTTTACAAAAAAAGTTGTGAAGTCCATTTCAGCTAAATTTTCATGATTTTTTATTAAATCATATAAAAGTATTCAAATTTTCTTGTCTACAATGATAAACAAAAAGCATGATATTCAAATCATTCAAAATAAATTATAAAAGTGTCAAGACAAAAATTTCTTACCGAAAAAACTGCTATAATTTTTAATTGAAGTCTTATTTTTCTTTTATTTTGCACTTGATCCATAAATTCACTCTTATGCCTAAAGATAATTTTTTTTTTGAAATAATAAATATAAAGAGACTGCAAAGAATTCTGCATGTCTTTGTGTTTTAGTAATAAAAAACCCAGAAACAAATAAAACTGCAATCTTATTTTACAAAAATGCATTTTTTCAATGAAATATATAGTTGAAAACTAAAATTATGACGCACCTATGGCCAGGTACTGTACATATGAAAAGATCAGAATATTATATCATTATTTTTTTAGTTTCGAAATGCTTGGAAATAAACCGAGACATAGGATGCTTTTCTGCAGATCTTGATTGCCATATTAGGTATATTATTTTTATTATTATTATTATTATTATTTTGTAATTAGGAGTTGTGTTTTAAAAGTCGTTCATTGCATTCATAAAACACCTTAAAAGTTAAGATATGAACAATTTAGACTGCTCATAGGTTTTTGTGGGGACTGGTTTCCTTTTTAGCAATGATATACATTACATAATTAAGGCATTGAATACATCGGCTCATCTTTCTTTGATGGTTTACCTCTCCCGTCTTTCAATCGTTTAATTGATAATTTCAATTTATATTTCTTTCTAAAAGTTTAATGAAAATGTGCCCTGTAGTTGAAATGATAATGATCACAGAAATAAACCTGTTGGTTTCTGGTCAGGCCAGGCATGGATTTAATTGGAACATGTTTGTTTCTTTAATCATTTTTGTCCTCATATGAAGAAATCAATACAGTTACATGTGCTTGTTGGTTTAAACTGTTGTACAAGCACATATAGTAATTGTTTTCTTAGATTGTTAAAGTTCATGTTGACAAGGATCTGACGATCAAATGAGTTTAACGTTGAAATGAGGTATTTTACGTCATAGTCAATTGTTGCTTTGTGAAGACTGTGATATGAATCGCTACAAAAGTGCATTAGCTGCAGATGGTTCAATCAATATAATTTTTAGACGTTCACACAACATACATGAAACGAACAAAAGATGTATCCCACCAAAGGTATAAGCCTGCTTGGAATATGCACGGGAAATTCTACTGATACTTTGCACACCAAGATTTCTTTCTTTGTCAAGAGTTTGAGTTTCCATTTTCAACTACATTTATGTAGAAATTGTAGTCCCCTGTCCCAATCAGATTTGAACTCTAGAAATGATTTTTCTTTCACGATATTTGACGACAATGTTGAAAGGACACTCCCTGTCTCTTTAAATAAGTTTGCTAAAGTACAGAAAATGGAATACAATATTTGTTACATTTAATTCAAAATAAAATATTAGTTGGCTGTGTAAGATCTTAAATACGATTATATACTGAAAGGAAAAAGAAGCGCAGGGTAGCATAATATTCGAAGAAAAAAAACATTGACCGCATGACCGAAAATTACGAAAATTGATCTGATGAGAAATGTAGTTACTATGCACCAAAATCAGTGTTCAGAATCACTCAACCGTACAATGTACATTGTATGACGTCACGTAAGGAAAACGCTAAAGAGCCGAAAACATGTGCAATTTGATGACAACGAGTTTGTCAAGAAATCTTGTTGCATCATTTGATGCACCTGAGGGATATATATCGTTTTTCAATATTTAGAGACGATATGAATTTCTTGCAATCTTGGTTCTGTTTACAGAAGTTCCATGGGGTCTGGTTTTCGCATTGCATTATTAATGAAAAAGGCAACAACGGGTAACTAAGCAGTTTCTTGTAAATTTCCCCTCATAAAACTTTTTATCCGTTGTCAGAGAGGGTCTGAAATGGTTTTCCGCCAACTGTGACGATGACGTTAAGGCGAAACAGAGATATGTCAAGAGCGGGTTATTCGTCCTGCCATCTCTTAAATCGCCACCTTACTGCCGCAAACCCGCCTTTAATACAGTAAACTGTTATAATCATTATATTCACACTAAAAATGAAAGAAAACAATTCCGCAATTTGGTTTTTTGAGCCGGTCAACTTACTGTTGTGTTCCTCTTATTGGCGCATGCGCGCGTCGTATGACTAATTTTATGGCATGGTTACCCATATACCCAGGGTTTGAAAGATAAACACTCTGATGAATTCCATGCAAAGGAGAAATAAGGCTGTGACAGATGCGCGGGAGAGACATTGAAGATAATGAGAGTTTTAGATTTTCACTTTTGGTATTTCTTTTTCCTTTCAGTATATACATGTATTAGCCTATTGTTTGTTCATTCCTTCATTCGTATATCTGCCCGTTTGCCTTTCCTACTTACTTGTATATTTTTTATGCATTGTTAAGAGAATTTGTACAACTTTGAAAAATATACAAGAATATTCTTGATTGACATTTAATTTATCATATTTCATTACACATATTATACCTATTTTGAAAAAAAAAAATTAAGTCTTATGTATGAGACAAATACAATAGTTTCGGCTTATTTTTTTCAGGGTCAATTACGGGCTACCAAACAATTGTAATGTCATGTCTGGAAACTGCAATTACACAATCCCTGTGCCGAAACCCCATTCAGTGGATACCAGGAGGATTAATGAGGATACTTTAGAATTAATCGTTTACCCTAGTGTTATCATCTTTACTATTAGTATAGCTTTATGCTGTATAAAATGGCATAAAACATCATTGATCCGTACGTGAAAAAAAAACCAATATAATTCTTGAAAAAGGTTTTAACAAGATTATACATTATACATATAATTATATATTTGAATTGTTTTTTTTTTCAAACAGAAATACAAAAAAGGTCGTTTGAAAATATTATATACATGTAACTAGATATTTACATTTCATATGTATTTTACTTAATATAAAGATTTTTTTTTTGAAAATTTATTGCATTCAAAACATCATAACACGGACACGGGATCAACATGTTAAAAATGATGTCTTAATTTGACGTCACAAACTTGTATGCTGTGGAAGTGCAACTTCATTACTCTCACTTTTAACATACGCTGTTGCATTGGCTCTTCCATTCATTAGAACTTACCAGAGCTATAATACAGGAACTTTGAAATATAATTCACGTTTCCAATAAAAAGCAATACGAGTTAAAAATGTAAATATAAGCACCGTATCATTATTTTTTATACATAGATAAAGTCTCAAAACTGCAACAGTGGGTGCAAAAAATTTCATAGCGAGCGATCTTCAATTTATTTGCACACATCATTGCAGTTTTAAGACTATATCTCAAAAAATAATACTTCATTGCTTAAATGTAAGTCTTAGCTTTTCTGTATAAAGCATAAATTTCTTGAAATGAATCGTTTTTAAGCAATATTCAGTATCTGAGACATAAATGAAGAATTTTCATTCGTAAACTTTTTCATATTAATATGAGGGCTGTTCAATAAATAATGTCCTGAACTGTATGACATACAACACAGATATCATACATGTATGACATTAAACTTGATTTTCTCTCATTATTGAATCTTTACTGAATTTATAACAGTTAATGTGATTACTTTTCATCACATAGTTTCATCGTGAGAAGCTGGGAAACAAGGGATATTCGAGACATTGCATTATAAATGAATGGTAAAGAATCAGCAAACTAGAGTGAAAATAAAAGCTACATTAAAGCTGCTGTAAAACTTGTTTAAATTCCAAAGAAATATTCAATGAAATATGTGATATTTACAGCAATCGATCCCTGTTTTACAGACAAATGAGCAGGTGGATTTCAATGATAAAAAAAATATATAATGGGCATCAAAAATGGGTACACTGTACCCTCCTTTCCAACAAAAATTATAACAACTTATGTACTGTTTGCCAAATTTCAACAAATGATATTTGATGATGTAAGATTGACTTTAAGACACATAGCTAATTTAATAGACATCATATCGGGAGTAATTTACTTTGTTTTTAAGATACGTTTAACATTAAAAAAGCTTGGTACTTAAAGGTCACCCTATTTTTTGAAAAATCAGTAAAAACGACAGCGTGTACGAAAGACTTAATAATTATTTTAAAGTATCAGTAATTGTAGTTTTTCACGTTTGTTTTATATTCAAACAGATATTGGAACTTGAATCTATTGTTTAAAACCATCATAACAAAATTTACCATAAGATGTACTTAATAAAAACGGCGAAGGTCTGACAAGAGCAAAGGTATGCAAGAGCACAAAGACAGATTTATATGCAATTTTCTTAAATATAAGTGGTATTGTTGTTCAAATTCGTATTCATGGAGATAGTTTGATATCTAAAGGAGTCTAGAAAGCAATTTTTTTGCCAAAAAATTGAAAGGTTTATTAAGGACAGGACCCAGAATCAGGAATCCACTACATTGAATTTCTTCACGACACCTTCCAAACCCGCATGCCCTGAAGAGTAAAGGGGTTTTCGGGATAAACAGAAAGTTAATGTGTTTCATATTTACAATATTTGCCAGATCTTTGACCTTTTGACTTGTTTCTATTTCCAAACTAGAAAAACACCTTTCAGAAGGAAGAAAACAAGTCAAGGAAATCACTAGATCTGCCATTTTCCAGTATACTAAAGGTCATACCAAAAATGAGTTCTAAAAACAATCAGAAATTGGATAAAAAATGTTACAGACATGATTTTGAATTAAAAGAGATTAATAAGTAAAATCATGAAGACTAAATCATTGAAGAGCGTCGTTTGCTTCTTCCTGAGCACCAAGAACATTATTTATTGAACAGCCCTCGTAAGTGTTTTGTGGGTGCTGATATCTCTAGAACATGTTTATGCATGATGGTTTTCAATGAAATTACAACATTACCCTTTAAAAATTTAGACGTGAAACAGAATGGGAACACTCTTCAATTATTTCCATACTCGACTAGATGCAGAGGGAGGGTTAATTGGACAAAGGACGGCGGCATTATCAACATAAACAAAGATAAATTCACAGTTGACCCTAACCGCCTATATATTCACAACCTGACCGATGAGGACTCCGGGAAGTACGAAGCGACTGCATCGTGTAGAAAGAGATGCGATACACGTATTGGTATGTCATATATTCAAACATGTACATGGGGTGATCAAAAAGTAAAAAAATAAATAAATAAAGTTAGGTTTCAGTGTTTATTATTCTTTTTAAAAGTAACCCTCTCATATTTTAATGCATAATTGTCAATGATCAGCACATGCACAAAGCATGTGATCCAGGCGGTCACCTGACATGCTCTGTAGCAAGCTTTTTATGGACGCTAAAATATTTTCCTAGCCTTATATTTCTTATCATGCAATTTTGGTCAATTTGGTCAATTTGTCAGAAATGACAAAGGCTCGAAAAAGGATTGTTGGATAAGGATACCCTTTCCAAGAAAGAACATAGGG